TTTAGCAATATTCCAGCAAGATCATGGCGGGGGACACCAGAAATGAGCTTTACACTTGTACCCATTGTGGGGAATCGTACTCGGGTCTTTGGCCTAACATGCGAACGCTTTAACGACTAGGCTACCCCACCGCCCCCTTGCAATGAGAAAATATAACAGCGTTCACCAAGTTGTTTGAGTCCTCGTATCCCTAACCCTACCCGTGACAGTAATCCGTATTTACGTTTACGTATATTCGACGTTCAGATCAAGCGAATCATTTTGTATGGATCAGAAATCTGGAGGTACGAACGAAGATATATCGTGGAACACTTTCATTCAAGCTTCTGTAACTTCATTCTTTCATCCGGGAATCACGTCTCTAACGTTGTGGCACTCGGCGACTGTGGACGCTAGGCATTGTACGTCGACTACCACACAAGGTGTATTAAATACTGGTGCAAGATACTACGGCTACCGTCAAACAGACACCTGAAACAGCGTTATACCATGATGTTTAATCTGGATTCAAGCAACAGAAGAACATGGGCCAGTCATATAAGAGAACTTCTTTTGAAGTACGGTTTTGGATTCGTTTGGATGTCACAAGTTGTCGGCGATATTCCAAACTTCATAACTACATGTAAACAAAGGAGTAAAGATTGCTATCAACATCAAGAAGAATGACATATTACAAAGACTTTACATTCGTTCTGAGTACAGAGGTTTATCTATCAACTGTCAAGAACAAAGAATTAAGAAGATTATTGTTTTTATTACGTTCATCCGAATTACAGCTAAGAATCAACACGGGAAGATGGGAAGGGTTGCTGCCTGAGGAAAGGATCTTATCTGTCAAGTGTGTGAATTACAGGAAATTGAAGATGAATATCATTTCCTCCTTATAAGTCCCTTATACAAAAGCATAAGATTAAAATATCTCCCGCATTATTATTGCACAAATGTCTCTGTTCAGAAATATATAAATTTGTTGGGTGTCTTGTCATCATTTATGCTTCTCAATTGTGCTATGTTAATCAAGGAAGCTCTTCTACAGAGAAAATTACAGCTCGATATGTAAATTCATATAAAGTGTATCAAAATGTCACAACAAAATTTGTTTGAAATGTATTATACGTGGGCCAGTGGCCTTTCTATTGAATAAATGGTTGAATTTACGCTTACACGTGTCTGTGGTTGTTTCCACACGTGTCGCCAGCCGATGATGCTGACCTGCATCACGTTTTCCACGGGGGTTGCGTTATAATGTGACGTCACAACCGGAAGTATTCCATCTGCAGGCCCTTTCGTATCCGCAAAGACTGGGTCTGGGATCGAAAAAGAAACGGATGCGGGACACGTGTTCAAAATGTATGGATGCCGATAGATACAGATCCCAGGGTGTAGTTTCTACAAAAGTGTTTTTGCGGATACGGATAATGATAATGTATACGGACAAGTGTAAATTGTAATTTACCGTACATTTATGTAAACATAGATTTATTATGACACCTGTTTATCCAAAATTTAGTGATGATAATTATACGATACGAAATATTATAGTGATTTGCCAAGACGTGTATAGAAAGTGGTTGAACTCAATTAACCGAAACTCAGGTATCGGACGTTGGTCGTGCCCTCTAATCAACAATACAAGGCTGACTTCAGCTGCATGTAGGTGACCCCCCAGTAAGACTGCATAAGGAGACAACATCGTTGCTGCAGCGACTCCCCATCCCCCCTCGCCCTCCCTAACTGCGTCTAATCCCCGGTCCGTCAACCGCATCTGGCGGCCTGGGGATCAGACACAGTACAGCGAAGGTGTAATTTGACAGGCAGCCGCATGTCCCCGTACGAAGTGTGTACCTAGCATTACTGAAGCCACAGGCCGTAATTATCTAGCGAAACGTCATCCAACAAATGGTAGCAACCATTAATTCCACAGCTAATTGCAAACCGCTTCTACAAGTTACCTTTACACTGCCAGCAAGAGCATTACTGAGGCAACCGATTCCTCGAAAGTGTAATAATTGGGAATCAATTCCTAAAGCAGGCATTCTATTGAGTGTTCTTGTACAACATTCATACTGTTGATTTCTTACGGGTATGAGTGCGTGACACAGCTGGTTGTCACCAGACACTGATTATATTGAACGGCATGACAGGGTGGTTAATGCTTCTCACACGACGATGCTGCAAAGTTCCGTCACCTGTCTGGAATGTTAATTTTGACACATTGCTTTTCTAACCATGGCGTTGTTGCAGCTTCAAGAAGGATCGCGTTACAGTTTATTGACAGTTCTCCTTCTAGGCTGGTTCTAACGGTATTGGCGATGTCACGGTTGCGGAAGATAAAAATAGACTGCACACATACCTTGCAGGGGCAGTCATGACTATAGATGGAAGGAAATAACTGGTTCATGAACTGTGTATGATACACCTCATTGGCGGATGGTGGGGGGTTTGGGTTTCAGGGGGTTCGAACCCACATTAAAGTTGACGTTTTGCATTGACGGAGCCAAGGGGAGTGGGACTTCGGGGTTGGGGTACGACCCCCTTTGAAAATCCTGGATCCTCCTATGCACTTTAATGTAATATACACCTTGATAAGTCATGCTGAGAGGCACACTGAATACATCTGTGAATTAGAGTGTTATTCCTTTTAACAAGGTCATGCTTTCCACACACGTTGTGCGTGTTTTATGGGCCTGTTTCCAACCAAAACGATTAAATCGAGCTTGAACAGTATCGACTGTTTCATATTTGTTTAATATGTTGATATTTAATACAACCTTGCCTATAACTGAAAACGAGATATTTTGACATCAGATATATTCTGATACCAACAGTTAATGTTTTCCTAGATATTCCGGGTGTGCCTGAAGACGTTTTATTGGAAAGATGCTTATTAACTAGAGTTCATGGACGTTCTGTAGAACCTGTCCAAGCAATTATTGATGTTATGTTTGTAATTTAGGATGTGGAAACAGAAAGTTTCTGAATTGAAAACAGCCACTATCGGCGACATATGCAATGCAAAATATTAAAGTAATGAAATGCAATGTGATGGGTAGTTCTCTCAATAATGAGTACAGAACACGACTTTCATGCTCCATCTGCAATCACCTCAATCTGCTAAGCCCAAGAGACAAATTCAAAACTTTCCTAATGTCATTATTAGTTCAAACTCGACCCCATCTACGTGATCAATCTACACTGTATATTAGTATTCCATGACATGCGAAACAAACATTACTGGCACCTCGAGGAAATAGCCCGCAGCGACTGCTCAAACAAGTAACGTTTAGAACGGGATGGCATCATGATATATTCACATTATTAGTCACTACCGATAGCTGTAGCTTACCTGGTTCTGAAAGCATACCTGGGCCTAGATTTTCGAAGCTCTCTTAGCGCTAAGATAGTCGTAAGTTAATGTTAATGAATGGCACTTACGACTGTCTTAGCGCTAAGAGAGCTTTGGAAATCTAGGCCCTGGACTACATTCATGGTGAAAGTGACGCTGTTTGCTTGGAATGTAGCTAAATTAAAATAAGACTCTTCTATGTTCTATCGTCCATACAATCCCATACAATGATCAAACTGACTGACACTTACATGCAGGGGACGCACTTGAAATGTAACTATAGGGCATCTGGAACGTACCCGAGAAGTAGAAAGAGAAAAATAACGTAAATTATGTTTCATTTCGAGAAAATGGGGATGGCGCCACCAAGGTGAAATTTCAGACATTTTATCGTGTCATGACTTTTCTATCGATGTGCAAATGTTTTAATAAGGGCGTATACTATATTCTAAAAGCATATACTTGAGAGAGAGTGTGGTATTGTATACCTTACACGACACCTTTAATTGTTGCCAGGTAAGCAGGTGTGTGTGAGAGTTCTATTTTTGTACTGCTTAATGCATAATTCATGGTTCTTGTAACTATTCAAAATGTATTGGCACTGCGGGACATCCCGTGCTGCATGCGACTGGTATCGCATATACGTCATGAAGGGTCCCATGGGTTACAAGGCAGGGGACAGCCTTCACACAATGATCTTGATTACTGGTAGATTCATTCATTCTGGAATAGAATTCCCCGAGTCACTGAAAAGTATTCCAAAAGTCATTAACAGTTCAAACAAATACCCATTGATCCGTCTCCTCCCAGTGACCATTTACTTAATACTGACTCCATAGGTAGTTCATTTGCCATTGTCAAGACTACTATCGGGGGAAACATTAAATTTTAAAGATGTGAAAGCTTTGAATATTTGAGTGAAGAATATATAGATTGGGCGGAAATGAGATGCGGAGCTTCGTGTGTGATTGTATAAACAAATGGCGTATCGCAGCGTCCTTGTCCGAGTACCTGGATTCCAATGACAGATCACTGTAAGACTGTTAATGAGATCTTGGCTCTGACCTCTGTATGAGACAGTGGACAATGACTGCAGTTGACCACATGCTTTGCCTCATTAACTGTCGGACATGTGGATTATTCATAACTAACAGCACTACATTCGCTTCCACCTGAGATTCTTGTTTGACCATCTCAGTGAAGCGCAAGCAGGACACCCAAACAGCGTGAGTGTTAATAAGAGCATTGTTTCTCTGTGGAATTACCGACAAATCTGCATATCTGCTAGAAAGAAGTGACTCATCTCTTGGCAAAATCCCGTTTGAAATACACGAGAGAGAAGATGATATATATCCCCGAAGAGCTGGAATGTCACAGAAGGAATCACTGACAAGACAGCATTTCCGTGTTGTTGAGTAAATCATCATTAAGATTGCTATAAACATATCTCGGTTGAACTAGTTATTTCCAGGAATCCGATGTTTCAATGTTGTCAGTGTGCACGAGAAATATGTCAACGTTATATTTTCAGGAAATTATGTCAGGTAACAGGCACATGCTGAAATCATACTGAACACACACAACTGATTCCCCAACAGGCATACCACCTGTGCGTTAAGGATCGATCAGCAACAATTACACTATAATGGTATACATCAAAATGGATATCTAGAACAGGCCCGCAGATGTGAACAGCTCTATGTGGAGCAATGATACCCGAGTCAGAGAGGATTAACTGTTGAGGACGCTTCTAACAGCCTGAGTGCCAGTATCTTGAAGGATTAGGTCGAGCAGATAATCAGCTACTGTCCCTGTCTGTATTCACGTTCATAGCGCGAGCTCGCTACGCGAGCAACAAGCCTGTCCCGCGAAGCTTGGATTGGATCGAAGGACACCACACACTGTAGGGTACTGGTATACAAGCATGCTGGATTTTTTCCCTCACTATACACGTGGAAGGACCTATAATAATCTAGACCTTTGGCACTGAAGACGTCAAGAGTGTTTAGGATCACGAGGAATTGATGCTGGAGAATAGTGGATGTATTCAGAGGTGGCAATTCCGATATATGTGATCATCGCTGGATCATCAGGGAACGGTCAAATGCGAGTTGGCAATAGACCACCTTTTCATTTACTGGAGTCGTGACTCTTGAGCCAGTTCTTGTACCTTGGATCTAGCATTGGATGAGTTTCATGTTGGCACAATACTAGAGTGAAATGAATTCGGCGAACGTCAGTGTTCGAGATTCAGGGGGTCGAAAGAAGTCAAAAGCGGCTTTAGATTTGGAGGTTTGTTGACAAACTCGAATTTTCAAAACAATTCTTCATTTTGAAACTTTTTGAAACTGGTAGTTTTGGGATAGACTCTGCACATTGTTATAGACCTCTAGTAGTTGTTTGCTTTCCATTTTACCAGTAGCACCTCGTTTTTTGTGAGGTTTAGAACACTTTTTGTGAGGTTTAGAACACTTCATGGCATGACATTATTGCAATTTTTTTTCACGAACTTCATTGTATTTCATTGAATTCAGTAGCACAAGCTGATATAAAACCGTTTCGGCTCAGAACTACTCCGAACCCTGCCACGACCAGATGTTAAAAACCCCAAAGGTTCGGTAAATAATGTATGTGTTACATTTAACATCTATTGAGAAGGAACGACCTTAATTGCCGATCATACATATGCATTAATTGGACAATTTGATTGTGAAAATCGTAACGCACGAGGACTCCTGCTTATGTAATACGGGCATAGTACTAGATGCCGAGGCACCACATGTAGGATTGGATACGTTAACGGATACAGCGACGGGATTATTGCTAGGTCTACACACACGTGGATTTCTCCCCGTTATAGAGTATAATAACAGGATAAAGTGAAGATATTGTGACACCACCATGAATTCAGCAACCGTCAGTGTGAAACACACCGAAGGGAACAAGAAAAAACATGCTGCGGTGGATTTAGAGGTACTGTACATTTTGTCTCTTACTTCTGTTGTCATTTAACACAGTTATGATTCCTGTGTTATTTTGTGGATGTTGGTGAACATGCTTATGTATTTTGTTTGAAGTGCTCTTACTGACCAGTGGAGCATATTTCATCTCTTTTCACCATACGATTTTATATTCTCAAATAATTTGATTTGGATTTATGCATACAATTTTATTTTATGATGAATTGGCACTGATTTTATTCTACTTGTAAATGCCCTTGTTGGGAATTTTAAGTTATAACATTTGGTAATATATGTACAAGCTCATACTAAATATATTTTGTGTGTTTCTATAACACTTCTATATGTGCAATCATGTATAACACGTGTTATATGAATAATCACTTGTAATTTGTAATTTGTACTGACATTTACAACACATCCACACACACAGTAAATTATAAAGCTCCTCTAAACACAGATATTTACAATATATATACCTCTATAAATAATAGTATTATATATACATTTAATACTGCTATATGCACAGTCATTTAAAACACCTATATATGTTTCTTTCTACCATTGCAGTTATTTTAATGCTTCTACCTTTAATGTACAAGCCATTATGTATATTATTTCTGTACATGGTCATTAATAATACCTCTATGTATAAGTCATTTATGATATTGATTTATATTGCTGTATCACACCTTTATTGATATCTTGCAACAGTGTCAGATACAACTGGGTATATTTGCTACATGTTGTTTCTGTAGGTCAGCTGTGGGTAGGATATATCTGTGACAATGTGAGTCATTTACAATAAGTAATGACACCAGGTGTTTATGAAAGGTTAAGAATGTCCTACCTTACCGGTAACCCCGCCACTCACAAAAATTATACATATAAGTAAATGCCGTAGAGCATACCTACAGATCAGGTTGAAATTCTGGAGGCATTTTCCAAACACGTATTACGAAAATCTGCATCCTTATTCGCAATGTTTCATTGTGGAATATCGAAATACACATTAGCGTGAGAAGGTGGAGATATTGATCGACTTAAAGAGGAATCTTGAGTTGATGTTGGTGATCATAACACCAGTGACACTCTGGTGTCAGCCCTAGGAAGTTCAACCACAACAGTTACCTCCCTTTACACACCATGACGTCAACAATCGAGCTATCATGTGTTCATTTCTTCCGGAACCAATGTTGAATCATCAGTTGTTCAAAACCCAGCTGGTATGGCTGTGATATGGCAAATCAGGAATGAACTACATTCTTCGTCAGTGTTTATTGTGTGGTAATGACTGTGAACATAAATGTATTGTATGTATACTCGATGATGAAGTGAAGGCATACGACTGGCTCTAATACATTTTGCAATGTCAGGTTAACTGCGTCTAAAGTGAGCGTTCGAAATTAACGTCGGTCACTAGGCCCGAAGCAGACTGAAAACCTCTCGGACCCACAGCTTCTGTTTTCTGCAGGTCCTTATGTCCGACAGCTTTTTCATCCCCAATAACTAAGAGAATTATTTCCATGTTAAAATATTGGGCCTACACTGTCTGATAAGTACCGCAACTTAGTATGGTCCTGGGTCCTTAGGGCCTGCAACTATTCAGGGTTAAACGCTGTCTAAAGTGGTGACGAACCTATACTGACAGTCATGTTTCTATCCTACTGATTCCCACAGGTTCGCTGAATCATTGCCAGGATAGTTTCAGTGATGGCTGAATGAATGCTCGTAGCCATGAATGGACATAGCTGTGAAATGTACTTGATGAATGGATACAAGGAAGGATTGTTAACGCCCGCCTGACTTACCATTATATGTTTAAATAATGCAGGCTGAACCGATACCAGTAGCTGTATCTCTTGAAAGTCAGAGTTTATGGATGAAAACAGCCCGACTGAATGAACACGTGCAGTCCTGGGTGCAAAACGATCTTAGCGATGGGATAATCGCAGCACCCATACCTAAACATAGACTTACAAGAGTCGTAATGCTAAGATAGTTTTTGAGAACGGGACCATTTTGTAGCGTCGTAATGCTAAGATTGATTTGGGTCAAAAGGTCCTGGATTAAAGGTCAGCTATGCCCCTGACTGAATTATCGTAATCCTATCTGAACTGTATTCAGCAAACACAAACACATTCGTTAGGCTGGCTAAACCCATGTGAATTGCCGTATTCCTAATGGTGTCGTTGGAGCTGCAAGAGTCAGTCTATTTGAGAAAAACAAATGGCCGATATCGTATTTATTACCATGGTCAGTGCAAAGGCAAATGGTTAATTTAACAAACGTTAAAGGCCTACGTGTTAGTTGGAGTTGATGAATTGATTAAAATATATTGCAAGAGATGTCCTAAATGCTAACACGAGCCAGTCTATTTGACAATACTTGCACTGTCAGGCAGATGTGTTAGGGTGTTGGTGGACGACATGATGTCACAGTGCACATCTTAGGGTGTGTATACATTCAACCATGACGTCATGACATTATGACGTCATACTGATTGACATAAAAGGGAGTATGGACAGGCACCTGGCAGTATTGAAAGAAGGCTGACCTCTATGTGACTGTAAACCCGATAGTATGGATGCTCAACTAATAAATATTACGGGACCGGATCCGCGGCTAAATGGAGTTCGATCCCCGGCTTAGCTAATCCCACCTCACCACTTCTTAACAATTGCAGCTGACAAAATTTGATGAACCACACTGGTAATCAATAACTGTTAATACCTCTCGGGTTCATACGGTGTATCGTGTTACATTACACGTTCCCCTTATTTATGTCCATCAGTATACACCCTGAGTATTGCCAGAAATTCCACTACGGCGACATTTCAACTCCATGGTCCACCAAGGCTCGTTTGACCAAACTCCACCATGTGTAACTGGAAGTGTATACTGTATTTCTGCAAAGTTGACGCTTTCGCAGAGTTAGGTACGCCCTGGCTTGTTAGCAAATTACGCTATTATAATTATGTTTAATTAAGCAAGGTTATTCATTCAGATCTATAATACTACACGGTAATTGCCTAATTATTTAGAGTACGTCACAAATAATTATCGTTCTTTCAGGAAAAAAGCTAATTAACGTTTCCCATGCTTTTCCTGTGCGTGTTTACACACAAACAATGGCCGTATAATTACAAATATATGTTGGTCACATGTATATAGCAACTGCTGTGGTCGCCAGGATATAGTTATTGATTTGTAGGCGTATTTACGTACACGTTGTCCCGTTATTTTGCCAGTATTCGCACTAACCTGAATTCAGTAGGTATAGCAAACATGTTGATCTATGTTGATCGCCTGTTCAGGTATCAGTTTCTGTTACAAAGGAAACAACGTCTATGTCGGTAACTGATAGGTGTGAATTGCAATCTAGGTGAGGGGGAGGTGAAATTGGGTTTTTACGTCGTGCTTGAGAATATTTCGCTCATATGACAACGTGCATGCGTGTGTTTGTGTATGTGCGGCTGCTTGTACTAGCCCAGACTTAAACTGGTTTTATAATGCTAGCCCACTGAGATACCATGCCGCAGTGAAGCATGAATACCCCACTCAGACACATTATACTGACTCCGAGCCGACCAGTCCTTGTTGTACCCATTAATGCCGAGCGCCAGGCAGGGACCAACAAGTACCATATTTTAACGTCTTTTGGTATGACGCGGTCGGGGATCGAACCCGCGACCTTCCGCTCTCCGGGCGGACGCTCTAACCACTCGGAGAGCGGAAGGTCGCGGGTTCTGGTTTTGTTTGTTCCATTCGATCTGGCATGGAAATACTTATACGGGTGTGTCATTATTTCTCTTTTTGCAATGCTCCTATATGGACGGTGGGTTAGCCTAGTGGTGAATGCGTCGCTCGTGACGACTCGGGTTCGATTCCCCACTTGGATGCGAACGTGCGAAGACCATTTCTTGTGTCCCCCGCCGTGATATTGCTGAAATATTACTAAAAGCGGCGTAAAACTAAACTCACTCACTCCTACGACAACTGTACCATCGGTGATGTATCAGTTGTTTAAAATAAAGCTAAATCCATGTTTTCACAAACTGATTCAACGATACTCACTACAATAGCGTATCAGTTGCTATAAGGATAACCTGTTGCCTCCCGCCACTTACCCCTATAGATACCAACCCCTTTGGCCCTACTGGGTACCCTGGATAGTTGTTGGTATCCATTACTGTGCTGTTTTAAATTATTCATTATCATTATCATGTCGTAAACTAATATCAATAACCTTTCAAAAACCGTGTTATGCCGTGTTCAAGGTCTTATAGCATGACCAATATCTCGTAGCGTTCGAAAGAAATAATACATGGAAGCAGAAGATCCACTCATGAAACTAGCACACCTCGTAACCTTTTGTGAAGATATGCAGCTTCTACAAAATATCCTTCTGACATTCCGAATCCTGTTTGAGCTCTGGGCCTATTCAGTATTTTGATGTAACCCGTTTTGCTTTGATCCGAGTTGTCATCAGCAGTCTGCGTCATCTTTGAGATGATGTTGGGGCAATGGTCTCTCGCTCAGTCTGGGAATCTCATCACCGAGTCGTGTTACAGGTTCGTGGGGAGTGTTTAAGCGCCACGTGTACCCCGAAGCATCGACTTGTGGCCCTCCTGATCACCAGTAATGCTGTTCACGAGAATCCTAGGCTCTGATTACAATAACAAAATTGCATGTATCTATTACCGTTATACACCTTCTCTCACGGTAAACATCAGGAAGGGCATTCATTCACAATATATTTGCATCCACAATCATTGATTCTGTTGTATTTCAATGAAAACAGCAAATGTATCAGGAATTAATTTTTGGCTCATCATCTGTCAAAGTCAAACCATATCTCCTTCATCTATGTGTGCCTGTGTCTTTATGACACGAGGTGGGGTAGCCTAGTGGATAAAGCGTTCGCTCGTCACGCCAAAGACGCGGGTTCGATTCCCCACATGGGTACAATGAGAGAGAGAGAGAGAGAGAGAGAGAGAGAGAGAGAGAGAG